CAAAAACCCTCTCAAAAAAAAAAAAAAAGAAAAAAAAAAAAGTTGAGCCAGGAATCAAATCAGGGTTTCCTGTGTAGCCTCAACCTGCCAAGTAGTAGCATCAACCATTGTGCACTACCTTGGCTGGATCTGGAAACAATTTTTTGTTTGAAGTTGAAATGATTCTTTTCCTGCCCTTCTGGGTGGGTACCCTAAAAATTATTCTATGTATAGTATAGAGCAAGGATACTTCAAAACAGTTAAAGGAAATGTAAATAATATAAGGCAGAAACTTATTTATTATGTTTATCTAAAATCCTTATGGATAATAACCATGCCTCCTTTTTGAAAAGAAGAAAACAGCCAATACATTTTTAATGTTTATTTTGTTGTTGGGTTTATTTTTATTTATTTTTATTTATTTTTTTGTGACAGGCACTGTGTTAAATGATTGAAATATGTTATTCTAATTAACTCTATTGCCATTATATGAGGTCAGACTAAATGATCTGACTGTATAGAGGGGAAAGTACATACAACAAAACTTTGCTGATAAATTTAGGAATTAATGAAAATCCTGATGTTTCTCTAGGAACTAGGTAAAGAACTTACCTTTAAGCTCTTTTTCAGAGTACAAAACTTTCTAGTTTCTTTAGTAAGATTTTGACATGCAGCAAAATAATTGCAAAACCACCTTTTGAACTGACTTGCTGGGGGTGGCATACTTAGAGTTGTATAGACTGTGCTGTTGCTTCAGCATGTCTGAGTTACCTGAAGACTCTAAAAGACTCTTAGGAAAGGTAAAGTTCAGAAAAATTACATTATGTAAGTTTCAGTGGTTGTCTTCTCCCAAAGACAGAGCCTATGCTCAGACAATTTCAGTTAGCGGGAAGGACCCATTAAAGGATGCAGAGAAAGTACACTTTATTTATTTATTTATTTATATTTGTTTATTTATGTTAAAATAGGAGTGATTATTCAGGCTTAGGCTGATTTTAATTTAATTTAATTATTTTGTTTTTCTTTTGCCTGGAAGAAAGCGTGAGCAAAAAGACTTTATGTAACCCTTTCTGCGTTCTTCCCTCTTGTATTGGATTACTTGTAATCTTGTACTACATCTTGTCTGGTTGGCTCTAGTTCTTGGCAAGTATTCTCTTTTTCCTGACTCAAAACTAGACTGGGAAATTGCAACAGGTAAAGGCTGTGACTAAGAAAATTGAAAAATATTCTTAACTCCTGTTCTAGGTACTTTTAATGGCAGTTTAAATAATTGTGAATCAAAACTTTGTTATTCAAGTGGCAAATAGGTGTTTTGGCTCCCAGATGCTTCTTTGAACTTTTGCTAATGAAATGAGACCCACCTAAACCTGAAACCAGTAGGTTAAAGTTAAAACAACCCCTACCTTCACTGCCTCCCACCCTGGCAGTTCAACAGTCAGGATGCAGAGCTCTGTGATTTCTGAGTGACAAATGATGTGGCCCATTCCTGTCCCAGCCCATGTACCATGGAGGGAACAAGCAGTTTGGGAGACAAACTCTCATTTGCATATTTTTAATCCATCTTCTCAATTTTCCTCACCAACAATATATACTAATCTTTAGAAAGCTATAAAAAACAGAAACATTGTAACTTACCAGAGGAAACGAGTTAGTTGGGGACGCTGGTATAGAAAGAGAGCCAGAAATAATGAACTGTAGAAATAGACAAGTTTATTTGTGAAATAATGAACGTTTTGGCCTAGAAACATTTAATATGAGAGACTGGCATATCTGTATTTATTTAGTTTCCCTCTAAAAATTTTATCTCCTGTTTCTCAATTTTCTCCAAGATATTTCATAAACTTCCTTTTCCCCCCTTTAGTTTCTTGCATCTGAAGTTCATTTTCTGCTTATCACCTGTACCCTTTCCGTGTGCTGATTTCTAAGCTGACTGCGGAACCTCTTCTCATTGTCAGTTGTGTTTATATATGGAGGATGATCTCTCACTCTCTCTCTCTCTCTGTGTCTCTCTTTGTCTCTCTGAGGAGCACACACACCCTATGTCAAACATATTTAAAAAATTAAAAGTGTGTGTATACATATATACATACATATATATGTACGTATGTGTATGTAAGTGTGTGTATATATGTATGTATACATGTATATATGTACATAAACACTTTCAGTGGAGGCCAAGCAGCAATTCCTTCTCCTCTATTCTTCTTTAAGGATTTAGGGCATGCAGGTGCATATGTAGGATGTGATTTTCAGGCTGCCCTAAATGGGATTTAAACCATAGAGTAGGCCGTGTGCGATTCAGTTCTCTTAATCTACACGCCGCCTGCTGGTCCCCAGTTGTATGTTTTTAATGATGTTTCTAATCATCTGCTTTTCTACTTTCCATTCAACATATACATTCCCACATGAAATGTAGTGGAACCTAAAAGAACTTGCTAATGACTTGACCAGAAGAAAATTTCTCATGTGGGTTTAAGGTACAAGTTAAAATAGGGAGCTAAAGTTCCGTCCTTTTTTTCCCCTCTAAATTCTTCAGATCTCAGATGCAGGGCTTATTAAGAAATTAGTGGGGAATAGGCTGGAGATCATTATATTTTAAAAACTGATAAGGAGATATATTCTAATTGTCTACTCACAGAGATGCCACTCCAAAATGGATATCCAGCAATAAAAGTCCTGGAGGCAAAATTCCCAATATCTTCGGAAACATGGTTCATTAAACCCAAAATAGTTCCAAAACCAATGTATATAAATCCAATCATGATCTGGACCGCCTGAAAAAGAAAATAGGCATTTTAAAATCACTTCTTCATTGTCAGGGCTGTGAAGCGTTACCATCATTGCTGCTCCTGCTCATTTATCATCAACTTGGCCAAGACCTTTGGGTTCCACTGAGGCCTGGCTGTAAAGCAGCAGGCAGGCCGTGGTGACTGACATACACTAGAATAACAGGGGAGCAAGGGCCTTGGCCTTGTTGAGGCATTTGAGTAGGTTTGTCTGGGAAGCCCAAGGACTGTTCAGAATATGCAACTACTTGACCATGTACCCGCATCTCTTGAAAGCCTCTAAGAGACTCTTAGAAAACAAATGCTTTCACCATGACTTCCCACCTGTCATTTTCACACGGAACAAGTTTCTGTTTGTATAGCCCAGTTATGGTAAAGGGATCAGTGAAGATAGAATCATTTGTTGGGCACTAGTTATATACCTGCTAATATTCTAAACACTTTACAATCATTTTTTTCATGTACTCCTCTCAACAACCAGATGGAGAACAGATACAGAGAAACTAGGTGTTTAGGTCACATGATTGGTAAGGGGAAGATCTGAGAATTGACAGCAGCAAATTGACACCAGTTAAATTGCCTGCATCTTAACTAGTCAGTGCTGCCTCACTGCGGGCTCAGCTCAGCTCTATGAAGTTTTAATTACACCAGTCAAATTAGCCTATCTTTTTTTTCTTTCCTTCCCACTGCATTTTATGATAAACAAACCTTATTACTTGATTTTGTACTATTTACGTGAGGCTATATTTTTGAAATTTTTTTTGTCAGCCAAGAGATATATTTCCAAAAATATGAGATATATCTTTTATTTCTTTGTACAGTATATCTTAATGCAGCATTCTTTATCCTTAGCAGAGATTTCTAAGAATTAGCTGTGTCTAGATTATTCCAAAAGTCAGCTATAGATTAACAATGAACTTCTAACAAACTATATACCTTACCAATCTGAGAAGACTTCAGATTCAAAGATGGATATGTTTATTTCTTTTGGAAATAGCTACTAAGCACAATGAAACTAAATTCAAAATGAGAAAAAATCAGCATCATCAGTAATGCTGACTTTTTTTTTGAATTATGAAATTCTTTGAGACTCTAATAAAAGCCAGGCAACATCTTCTCTGAATAATTATTCCCAGGCACATGCACACATACATGCAGGCATGTGTACACACACACACACACACATACACACACACACTACAATTTTCATATGGCTTCAGAGGTATGATGGACCTCTTTTAGCCAGTCATATAGCCTAGATGAAGAACTCCTGAATTAGACTCTCGACTTTGTAGCTACAAGCTTTTTTCTGGAGCAACAGTGCAGTCATCTAGCCATGCATTTCCATTCTCATCCTTGCTGTTATTTTGATGAGAAGCACTTTGATCCTGGGTTCACATGGCCATCTTTTCTCCTTGGATAGCCCTGGCTGCACCATTTACTGATCAAAATTTCCTACAAGACAGCCTTAACAATTTGGAAAAATAATTTGTTATCATATTTGGCCACAGACTCTCTTTAAGTTCTAATGCAAATGGTAAAGATGTTCCATGCCATCCCACCAGCACTGTTGCAAGGATTGAGAGTTGTTAATGACATAGATGGGCAATCTTCAGGGAGCGGAAGAGGTTTCTGCTAACTGGAACTTTTTTTTTTTGGAGAGGTTTTCGCTATAGGGCGCGTGCGCTCGCCAGACAGACAGACAGAGACATAGAGACAGAAAGCGAGAAATCACCCCCCAGGGGGGATGGTCACGCCGCAATCCCTTCTCCTCCATTCTCCTCTCAGGATCTTGGGCACGCACGCACACGCGCCCGGCGTGAGTTTTAAGCCACTGGGTCCGGGACGCGAACCGCGGTCGACTACGTGGGAGTCCAGCGACATAGCCATTACGCTAACTGCTGGTTCCCGCTAACTGGAACTTTTAAAAATCAAATGCCACTTATCCTTTATTGTAAGTCTCTTTGGTATCAGGCAAAGTGCTCTAATGATTCCTTATTCCACCCAGTCAAAGTCAAAAACTTCAATTCTGCAGGTCTCACTAGGTCTGATAAGCCCTCTGCCCTGCTGCCACCTGTTTCTTCCCTCATTCATTCTGTTGTACTGGTTTCTTCAAATACATCACACATGTTTCAGTCTAAAGAGTTTTCCACTGATCATTTCCTCTTGCTTGAATTCTACATGACTTGTTCTTAACTTCATGTCTTTGCTCAAACAAATGCTAAGGAATGCCCACTCTTAGCAAATGAAATTTCCTATCAATACAGGCTTATCTCTTCTACATTTCTTCATTCTCTCTAGATCATTGTCATCTCTAACGCATTATAGACTTCTTTATCCTGCATCTGATCTTATGTCTACCACTGAGATGTAGGCTCCGTCAGAGCAGAGATTGCACCTGCATTGTGTTCTATGATATCTAAACATCTATGTGGGGTTGGCTGTTTGAGGTGCTAGTTTTTCCCATTTGCCCAATGGAGCAGGAAATTTCCACTGTCTGGCAGGGAGAGCATTGGAGGGGTTACCTCTAAATCTCAGACTGAGTAATGGTGGGAAACTGACTTTCAGTTTTACTTTGCTAAAACTCGATGTAGGCAGTAAGAGGGCTAGAAGAGTTTTAGGCACGTAGTGGGCATTCAGTATAATTTACTGACAGCTGTAGCAGAGAAGTTGGAGGTGCACACAGGGAGGGACCTAATACAATGTCATAGAATTGTGTCAGTGGTAAGAATGAGCTAGCACAGCGAAGGGACCAACAATTCTGCCGGCCACGTGGGATCTTCAATCATGGGCAGAGCATGTTTTGCAATGCCCATAGAAACAAAATTGTGAGTGTTCAGTTCAAACCACTCCTTGTAGAAGTGAGGTGGCAGTTAAGTCATAGCATCTCTAAGAGTACTGGTGACAGAGGCACAGCAAAAGGAATGTCTTCTAATTGTTCACATACAGCCTTCCCTAGATTCCCAGTTGTAGTTTCTTCCCTTTAAGGCAGCTATTGATGCTAACTTTAATGCATGTTCACTTGTATGCAAATACCAGGCTTTAACCAATCCAGAGGCAGGACTGGGGTTGTCTAAAAAGTGCTTTGCAGAAGTGAGATCAAGCTAGAAGTACTGGGGCTCCCATCATGTCTAAACTCTTGACTTCTGCTATAGAGAGTCCTGTGTCATCTGCTAGATTCTTGCTTGAATCTAAGATGTGATTTCAGGGTAAAGTTTCTCTGTAGACTAACTATTTCTACTAAAAAGGTAACAGGTTCCAGAGTGATGTTCAGGTTATTGAACGTAATGTATACTTTGTGTTTCTTGAAAGTACACGAAAACTTTGCAAATGTAAAATTAAAATTCTGAAAGTAAATAGACTTACCCCCAGTGTCTTTGCTTTTTCTATATATTCTGCTTTTGCTTCTGTTTCATTTGCCATTTGTGTATTTTCTTGACCCAGGTGACTGGCAGAGATTTCTGGAGATGTGATGAGAGGAGGCTGACTACACAGAGGTTGGTTACCTAGGTTTACGTTACCTAGAAATTGTTGGGACACAAGAGACATAGAAATGATTCTGGGGTAAGGATTAAGTATATTTCCATGTACTCCAGGGTGGATTGTTGGCTAGGATGACATCATTATGTCCTGTGTATTGAAAAGCATACCAAATGATACATTTGTGCAGAAAAGAAAATGAGGAAAATCTTATCGAATGATTTTTTTTTTTTTTTTTTTTTTCTGTAACTCTTTCTTCATGAGACTTTTATGCCACTCTGTCTCCATTCTGGTCCCAGAACTATGTGGTAGGTGCCAAGGGTGAGGTGATTCTTTCAGTATTTGATCCTTATTTCTTTGACCACCCTCTAACTTCCAAAAAGGTAGGCGATAAAGCACCATTTCATAATCTCATTTTTGTCCCCAGCTTAGAAACATGGTTGTAAAAACTGAGTTTAATATTGAAGAAAGTGAGTAGTGTCACTTAAGATTGATTTTTGAAATAAAACATTTATTTAAAAAGGTCCTTTTTGTGTGTGGTCGGGCAGTAAAAGAGAGGGGGAAGTGAGGATGTGCTCTCTAGGGGCATAGCTACATTGCGGCCCCTGCTCTTCCATTCTCTTCTTTTGATTGTAGGTACACATGCACATGTGCTCATCGTGTTTTTAAAACTACAGGATAAATTCTTCAGTGGGCTATGTAGTATCCAGCCACCTTAACCACCACGCTACCTGGTGACTCAAGAAAACTCTATTGAATCACTATGGAGCATATTTTTCAGAATTCTGAAACATGGGCTTTCAGGCTCTGTAAGTGTTCGAGAAAATATTGTCTCTACCTTTAGTGTTCTTACCAACGAGTTGAGATAAAGTTATTGCCGTAATGGTGTTCACTGGAATTGCATTTGTATACATATCCTATAACTGAAAAGATCTCCTGACAAGAATAAAAATTATACCAGTGGATAGTGAACGTCCAACTTTATGAGGATAGTTAATTATACTTGCTATTATTACTACCATTATAATAACAGAGCAAACTTTTATTAATAACATATAATTTGATAGGCCTTGTTTGAAAAGATTTTATTTTATTTTTAATAATTATTTCCACCTGGCCACCCGTAGTTTGAATCCTGGACCTGGCAACTTGCTTTCTGACTTCTCTCTTGCTCTTTATCTCTTTCTCTGGAGAAGTTAAAATAAATGCATAATGTTAAATAAAATATTTTAAAAAATATTTAAAATAATTATTTATTTAATATCATTTGTCATTATTATTGTTAATTTGCTATAGCATGCTCACCAGAAATAGAGAAAGTGAGAAAGGTATGGGACTCGAACTGTGGTTGACCATATGATAATGCAGCACTTTAATCACATGCCACCTTCTGGCTCTCAAGAATTTTTCAACTAATAGATTAATTTTCTAAAACTACATGCAGGTGAAGTAACTTTCTCAGTGTCATACAGCTAACGAGTGCTGAAGAACAGTCTCTACAAGTGTCACCTGTTATAACATCCGACTTTTATACCTTTAATGGGAAATTGATCTGTTTCAACTATAGTAATCTCTGTAGAAAAGTGAATACTGATTCTTTAAGGATAGAAACTTTTAACTTTCACTATATTTGGATGGACATCTCTCAATAGACTTCCTATTTTGCTAAATAGGTTAACCATGTCATAATCCAAATTGCCTTTGTGTGTTTCTTTTTTGATTACATCCCTTGGTCTCATGAATAGAATACAAGATGTGGACACATTGATTACTAAACTGTAGTTTGTTATTATTAATTCTTGAGGGCCGGTATGTGGTGTGGGGTTTAAGGTGCTGGACTCCCAAATGGCTCACTGTGGTTTGAATCCCAGACCTGGCAGCTTGCTTCTCACTTTTCCTCTCTGTCTTTCCCTGGTGAATTACATAATAATAATAATGATAATAAATAAAATTAAAAACTATTTAAAAATATATTAATTCTTGAACCAAAGGCTAACATTCCTTTTTAAAAGTTACTTTCTTTTTACCAGTGAGAAAAATCCCTTGCTGTTTTCCTAAGAACTTGCAGCAGGATTACAAGTATTCTTATGTAAATTCCATGAATTATATTTAGTCCTTGGTGAAATCAGAGCACTGTCTCATTCAATATCTCCTAAAAGTGGACAGTGTTGCATCCAATATTGTTTGTTGAGTCAGCATCACAAGTAAATCTACCTTACTGGCTCTATATTGTCACTGAACTCTCATTTTAGAAGTTTATTGATCCAGGGACCAGCAGTTGGCATAATGGCTATGTCTCTGGACTCCCATGTAGTGGACCATGGTTCGAGTCACAGAGCTGGTGGCTTAAACTCATGGTAGGTGCGTGTGCGTGTGTGCCCAAGATCCCAAGAGGAGAATGGAGGAATAGGGATTGTGGCGTGGCCTTCCCCCCTGGGGGGTGATTTCTCACTTTCCGTCTCTCTGTCTCTGTCTTTCTGGCAAGCACATGTGCCCTATAGCAAAAACCTCTACAAAAAAAAAGTTTATTGATCCATGCCTACTTATTTCTCAAAAATTGGGACGATCAATTTCTCAAAAACTGCCCTTATGAGATAATGCTGGGGAAAATCACAAGTGCGCTCTTTTTCTAATGTAGTATCTGAGGAATGCAGGCTAGCTGCCCCAGTGACTGTTCTGCAAAGCAGTTGGCTATTTCCTGTTTTCTCCTGCTTATTCCTATGTAAAGATTACTTGTCATTGGGACCAGCAGTTAGTTTAATGGGTAAGTCGCTGGACTTCCATGTAGTCGACCGAGGTTCGCATCCCGGACCTGGTGGCTTAAGCTCATGCTGGGCGCGTGTGCGTGCGTGCCCAAGATCCTGAGAGGAGAAGGGATTGCGGCATGGCCATCCCCCCTGCGGAGTGATTTCTCCCTTTCTATCTCTCTGTCTCTCTCTCTCCTTGCTTTGAAAATAGACCTTGTATTCCAAGCACCTTAGAAAAATACACTTTACTTTTAGTAATTTTCAGTTTAGGATATGATTTTTTTCCTTAACAAGAGGAGAAGCTGAGGGTTCATCCCTCTTAAGGGGTCCAAACTTGGTGTCAAGAACTAAATAAAAGAAACTGCTATACCTCAGCTTTCTGAGAAACACACTTGTCTTTCTCTTGATTGTGCTTAGTAATAAACCTCATTAATTATTATTTCTACAGAGTTTGTTTTTTCTTTGGACAATAATGGTGTTGAAGGGGCCAGGGAGGAACCAGAGATCTTCTGAGAGCTCATTCAAACCCAGTGCCTGGTACCAACACAGTGGGTTCCTCCTGTCCCCTCTGGCTCTCCCTAGGGGAAATTCCCTAATTTCTCTGGCCTTTGAAAATTTGGTAGATAGTCTGGTTTATTTCTAAGCAGTCTAGCTCCAGCTTCTCCCTAGGGGAGATTCCCTAATTTCTCTGGCCTTTGAAAATTTGGTAGATAGTCTGGTTTATTTCTAAGCAGTCTAGCTCCCTTCACAAAGTGAAAACTAGCCTGAATTCTCTCTCCTCCAGGTGAGGGGTAGTGGTTTGCTTCCCTCCAAGTGAGTGGAAGTGGAGTTAGGTAAACATAATGTTTGAGGGTGCATTTTTTTTTCTCTCTCTCTTTTTTTTTTTTTGGAGAGATTTTTGCTATAGGGCGCGTGCGCTCGCCAGACAGACAGAGAGAGACATAGAGACAGAAAGCGAGAAATCACCCCCCAGAGGGGATGGTCACGCCGCAATCCCTTCTCCTCCATTCTCTTCTCAGGATCTTGGGCACGCACGCACACGCGCCCAGTGTGAGTTTTAAGCCACCGGGTCCGGGACGTGAACAGTGGTCGACTACGTGGGAGTCCAGCGACATAGCCATTACGCTAACTGCTGGTTCCCATAGAAAGTGAGAATCACCCCATGCCGCATCCCTTCTCCTTTACTCTCCTCTCAGGTTCTTGGGCTCGCACGCACAGGCAACTAGTGTGAGCGTCAAGCTGCCGGGTCCGGGACTCAAATTGTGGTCACTCATGGGGCAGTCCAGTACACAAATACACACACACACACACACACACACATTCAGAGAGAGAGAGAGAAAGTAAGAAAGCAAGCCACCAGGTCTGAAACTCAAATCATGGTTGGCCATGTGGGAATCCAGCACCTTAACCACCATGACACCTGCTGGTCCCTAGGATGCATTCTCAAGGGTCTCTTCCCCTTTTCTAAAATTGCTTCAGTTTGCTGCTTTTCATTTGCAAGGGAAAATGGAACTATCCTACTCACAGGCAAAAGAGACTGAGCCTCTTAGCTCTGAAGGATTTTCTTCTCATTATGGCAAATAGCAGCCCTATAGAAAATCCTAAGGACAATAATTAAAAACAGGCCCATCCAATAAATGATAAATAAGAACTGAACACTCAAGCACTTGCTTCCACTTCAAGAGTGCTAGGTTCTTGAAGAGACCTGACACATGTAAGATGAGAGATCTTGATATGAGCGGGACATTTAGTAGAGAACACTCAAAAAGGAGCACACTGCTCCACCAGGTTACAACCCTTAGATTTGACAGACTGGTTTCTATTTTGAGAGGGGTAAAACATGGGAAATAAGGCATTTACATTTGAAAAGGAACAAGGAGAACCCTCTTCAGATCCCAAATAGATTTATGTATGATGGCTATGGTGCCTTGACTTGCAAGTATTTAGATAAATGAAAAAAACTTAAAAAGGTGACCATGATTTGAAATTTAGGTAGGAGCTTTGAGGTTCCTAAATTTGTCTTTCTGTGCTCTAAATGAGAAAATTGAGATCTCATCTAATGTGATGAGACTTTAGACCCCATGACACAGAGGTGTCATCCATGGACTGAGTCCCTCACAGGGAAAAACTGGATGACACCCCTCTTCAAATGCAGTTCATTGCTCACTGTTGGAGAGAATTTTCCGACTAGGGGATGCTCTGTCCGCCAAATTCTCCTTTGGGTCTCTTGACCTGTCACTACTCCCACCAGGGATAACACCCAATCAGATATTCCAAAGGCTATCTCTTGGCCT